CCTGCTCTGGGTGAGCCTGCTTGGGCAGGGGGGTGGCACTGGGTGAGCTCTGGGGGGCCCTGCCAGCCCCAGCCAGTCTGGGATTCTGGGATCCTTGATGAGGGGTGTTTGGCCAAGGGAGTCCTGGGTACCCAGTGTAGCAAAGGGCGTTCCGGGTCCCCATGCTTCCCCAGGGCTTCAATGAATCATAGAATAGAATCACAGAATATCTCAAGTTGGAAGGGACCCATAAGTATCATCAGGTCCAGCTGATGGCCTTGGGATCTCCTTTGCTTAGAGCAGCGTGTCAGGGGCATTCAGGGCACCGCACGTTGGGATCTCTGCCTTGCGCTGTCCACGTGCGGGGCTCTGGGTAGCCCCGCAGAGGGGTGGTGGCCCAGCCGGCGCCTCCTTCCATGACCTGCCCAAGTTCCCTCTGCTATTTTGTGCTCCTTTTCCGAGCAGTGGATCTGCAGCCACCCCTACTCGCCCGTCCGGACTCAGTTCTGCTCTCGACTGCCTCCCATGTTCCGTGGCCTCGTTCAGAGCTGGCGCTCATCTCCACCTTTGTGTGTGCTGGTGCTGGAGAACTTCCACGAGAGCTGTGGCTGCTGGAGGCTGATCAGGACGCCCCGTGCCGTGTGCCCTCCAACGCTCCTGTCTCCGGCTTAACCGAGAGCCGTGGGGCTCTGCTGGTGCTTGCAGAGGGAGCTGCCCCCGTGCTCCTCTAACCCGGCCGGGAGCGACCAGCTTGTGGAGCTCAGAGCTGGACACGTCTCTCGTCCCCGTCCTCATCCCTCTGCCCCATCCTGGGGACTTGGCTTCGGCAGTCACCGCTGTGGCCACCAAGTCGTGCCGTGTGTCCACCAGCAAGTATGGCCGGTCACCGGGACGAGCGGCGGTGGCCGCTTCCTTGCGTGCTCACCGTAACGGCAGCGCGACTTCAGACTTTTCTGTCCTATTTTGTCTGAGGCAAAAATATATATGATTTTTCTAGTTAGCGTTTCCTGGTTGCTGCAGGGGACTTGGGAACTGTCCCAAGAAAGAGGAAAGCTGCTTTTTTCCCAAGGGTCTAACTGTCCAGCCAAAAAATCCCTGGAATTTAAACAATTGGAGCCCCGTCCTGTTGGGACTGTTGGGAGCAGGGAGTGGCTCCGAGGCTTCCCACAAGCTGTCAGGAGGCGTCCTGGGTGAACAGCACGTAGGGCTGAAGCTGAGGCAGCTCCCGAAAATCTGACGGAGCCCAGCTGGGGGATTCTGGGTCGTACGGTGCAGCCGCTGCTGGGTTTCTTTTTAACAGCCTTTTTGGCGAGGTGGTTTTCTGGAGTGTGCAGGGAGCGGGAATTTGTAGCTCCTGCCCTTGCGTGCTGCCTGGCGGCGTTGCCAAACAGAACCACCTCGGCTGGCTGGATGGAAGTTGTGCTGGAGAGGGATGCGGGATGTGAATGTGTCTCCTCTGCTGCAGCATCCCTCCCCTCCCGGGCCGGAGCCG